TAAGAGCTTAATACATTTTAATCTAATAACATCAAAAACTAAAATGCAATAAAAATCTCAATTTTGCTAAAAAATTTTTGGAACCTAATTTTCTTAGCAATCAACCTATATAATAAATTTTGTATAACTGATAATATTAATATCTTTCTAGATGAAGAACCTGAACAGGATGATTCATTTAGTGATGAAGAAGGTACTTGATCATTTGATGACAAACAAACTTTAGATGATGAACTATGCTCAGACAATGATGAGTTATTTGCAGCTTCTGTTAATCTTGATTATGATTCAGATCAGAATAATTCTATTATGAATATTGGTAAAACTGATTTATAGATTCTTCTTTAGATCTTTAAATTCCAAGAAAAGTTTAAACTTCCTAATGTTTCAATTAATTCGTTGATTGGCTTCTTTAGTCTTGTTTTAAAAGATATTGATCCATATTAGTTTAAAGAATTTCTTTTAACCATATATATGACCAGGAAGTTATTAAATATAAGAAAAGAATCAAAATTTTTTACCACTTGTACCAATTATAACAAGTTGTACGACATTGCATCAATAATTCCAAAAATTCAGATAGTAATACAACTATAGAATTCAAATGCACACATATTGAATTTCTAAACTATCTTATACAAAGTTATCGTAAATCCTGTGATTTGAATTACTCGTAAAGATCCTGGTAAATAATAGATATATATGACGTCTAAAGATAATATTTCAATTGCTATGCTTAAAAACTCAACTATTTTCAATGTATCAAAAACCAGGTTTTGAAGAACTTTTGAAGAAATAGACCAATCGAAATATTATTGAATTAATGTCTGATATCTAAGATGGTAAAGTTTGGAAAAATACATTTGGATATTCCAAACCCTCCTAATTTCTTTACAGCTGAAATGGTTGATTCACATCTAGGAATCATGATCAATCTAGACTGGTTTCAGCCGTTTGAATCATTTGTCTATAGTTGTAAAGCAATTTATAGGGTAATTTGCAACTTACCTCGTAAAATTAAATTTAAAAAGGAAAATATGCTTACATTGGGTTTATTACTAGGACCACATAAAGTTAAGCTTCATAAAATCAACTACTATCTTGCACTGATAGTAGACGAATTGATTAGATTTGAAAAGGTAGTTTTAATTTGACTTCAATCAATGAATATCTTAATAGTAAAAAAATCTGACTAGCAGTTATATACTACTCTAGTGATATTCTGGTTGCAAGAAAATTATGCAGCTATATATCTGCTCTAGTTGGGTATCACAAATGTAATAAAAGGTGAGTGACGAAGAAGGTCAAAAATCGAATTTTAGAGGATTTAATGATATGGATGAGTGGTTTAGAATAAAAAATGTTAAAGAACATTGACGTGATACCTTAATTTAGAAACATTAATAAACAAAAGAAACTTAGAAGAATCACGTTAGTAGAACTCTTGTCTAATGGTCTAAACTACTTCAATTACCATACCATAATCCAATAAGGCATTTAGTTGTAGATCTGATGCATAACTTATTTTTAGGTATTACCCATTGGATTATAAAAAAACTTTGGATTGATGGTGGTAAAATAACTAAATCTGATCTAAAACTGATAGAAAAGTGAGCTAAACAAATTAAAGTTCCTACAGACTTGGGTAGAATTCCTTATAAAATAGTAAATAGAGAGGACTTTTCAGGATACACAGCAGATCAATGGAAATCATTTATTATAGTGTATGTAATTCCTTTGATATGAGATCTTTTAGATGAAAATGATCAAAGATTTTAACAAATTTTGTCAGAGCATGCTTCTTATTAGTATCATATATTATTGATAATAATATGTTAAATGAAGTACATATCTGTTTGCTATCTATTGCTCAATTAGTTGAAGAAATCTATGGATCAGAATTCATCACTCCAAACATTTATCTTTCTCTTTATCTAGCTGAATGTTATCGAGATTACAGACTGATATATTCATTCTAGTGCTACTTATTAAAAAGAATGAATGATATTTTGAGTAAATTAGATGTCAAATTTTTTTTTGTTGCAAAAAAAAAAAAATTTTATTAAACTGGTTGTATTCTTAGATTCATTTCTGAATAGTTATCACTAGATTAAACCAGAATTATTGCGAATAATAATGTAAAATTAGTGACTTGATGATCTTCTATTAGCCTAATCGAATAATATGAAGCTTATCGAAGGGTTAAAATTAATATAACTATAGGCAACGTCAGAAAGTTTAGCAAGTTATGATAATTTTGAATCTGATGAACTTGTTCGATTTAGGCAAATTTATTGCCTCAAGGTTGAAAATACGATTACTGATGCTGAACTTTTCCCTAGTATAATGATGTATCTTAAAAAAATCGATATTGGTTTACCAGATAATATATATTCACTTTTAGTGAATTATTACAACACGGCTTATGGTAAAAACTTAGATTTATTTTCAATTGCGAAAGCATCTCAAAATCTGATACGCTCTATCTGTAGAATTATTGTATAATCCTGAATAAATCAGTTCAGACATATTTGAATTAAAGCCAAAATTTTTGGATCTGCTATTGCATCTCAATTTTTTAAAAATTCGTTTATTCTTGCAAAATTCGTATAAGAAAATAGTTCAGTTAAAATATATTCTAATTAAGTCTAATACTTCTTTGAACATAAAGTTAAACTTCCAAGTAGAAGAGTATGCTATAATTTGGCTTTTATTAAATAGTTCAAATCAGTTCTAACTCACTAGATGAGATTTCACTTCTAAGTTAATAATAATATTCAAAGTTGTAATGTAGAAATCTGATTGGATACCTTTTATAATATCAGTAGAGATTACATTATACTAATATATAACATATTTGGATGATTTGTATCAAGTGAATATGAAATAGGAAAAAGAAATCCAGTCACATTGAAACTGGCAAAAATTGATGAACCTGTCAAATATGACATATATGCCAAATCTGCCAAATCTACCATATCTGCCAAATAGGATACACATATTATTTATTATATTTCTATTATTTATATCATTATTATCATTTATATTATATCTAATATAATTAGCATATCTGTTAGCTCTATTATTATTATCAGTAGTATCATATTTATCATAGATTTTCTTAATTATAATTTTCCTATATAAAGGGC